GTCTCTTTGGTTTATTCAAGAATGTTATTATTGATCAAGAAAAAAGAAATGCCCACAAGTCTCAAAAGATTCTAGTTAAAAATGAATTTCAAATACCAATTATCCATGACACGACAAATTTGGCAAAAAAGATACGATAGCACTGAATATTATTAAAGATACAAAATAATTTATTTAATATTACGTATCAAATATACATATAATATTTCATTGGACAATCTTTTGAACGCGTCTAATGTGATGCATTGCATATGGTACGGTTTGATATCGACTTCCATTTATATTTGGCTCATGTTCAGTGTAGTTTGAAAGTTGATAAAACTTAAATTAAAGTTAACAACTAGTTTTCTCCATACATTTTATGGAGACTCGCAATTTTTCAACCACGTATACATTTTTTATTAAAATCTACTGAAAATTTAATTTTAAACTACATCATATAGACACTTATAATAATAATAATAATAATATGATGTATGTATAGTTAGATATGAAAAGAGGGAGGGAGAAAGGAAATGGTAAGATAGCAATCAAGCAAGCAAGCACTTTTCAAGATCCGCAAAAGGCATCAAATAGATAGTGTAGGGCACATTGAAATATAAGATAATGAGTGAATGGCTGGCTAAGAAAGGAGGGACCCCTATAGACGTTATTGCCTATTAAGATTCAAGGGTCCATTTAAAAAATTAATCATATTAAAAAGAGCATCACGTATCCTTATAAGTTTGTCTATATTTTCATCTTTATTCGATATCAAATTTTATATCTTGCAGTAGCTCTTTTGAGCATATCAATCTTGAAATTTCTTGTGCTCGATTTTGAGTTTTCATCAACTTAAGTTGCTCGTTGAAGTTTAATGAACTCTGATACCATAATAAGATTTGGAATTCCATCTTAAAAGGTGAACTTTAGTAAGAGGAGAAATCTAAACCCCTTATAAGATGATCCATATTTTCATAGTTATTCGACCCTTGTTTGAGCCCCATTTTTTCATTAAAATGCATTTTTCAACAATGATTTGACACCATTTCAACAATACATTTTTTCAATAAAATAATATTACATGCAAACCCAAAATTTTTCCTTATTTTTTAACCACACATTCTCCATCATAACACTATTTCAAAATATTTTTTTTTTTTTTTTTTTTTTTTAAAAAAAACTCAAACATAACCCTCGATATAAAATTGATCCCTTGACAAGGCCAAATACCCTTTGAATGCAAAATAATATGGTAAATCCTGTGGAAAATTCTATTTAGGGTAACAAGATTTATGAGATACTTCTCATGGGATCATTCTTTGTAATAAATTATTGAAGTTAAAATACTGTCATTGTGCATATATCTTGCAAGGATCCCGAGAGAAGTGGGAAATGCTAGAGAATAAAGAGCCAAAAATATCATAAGAAACTCAATGACCAAAATCTAACAAGCAAATATTTAAATTTGTGGTCATTTTATTTTGGTCTTTTGATACAAAGTGAAATAATAACTAGTAATGATTGTTCTTCACACGCACGAGATTCAAATCTTATCCAAATATATACTCCACTATCATCAAAATGCACATTTGGTTAAGTTTTATATGCGTACTTATAAGTATACAATTATGACATAAAATTATTTTTTTTCGTCAGTATACAACTTGTTATAATGATATTTTTACCTTATTGTCAACGTAACAGAAAATAAGTGACGTGTCAAGGTATCACGACGTATAATGCAAATAATGTTTATATGGATTTTTCAAACTTTTGGTAAGACTCTCCTAGGTTTATTCATCCATTAATCTAGTGGAGATTACATCTTATGCACCATGAGTCCATTAATCTAGTGGAGTTTCATCCATTATTGTTAAAAATCATTCCTTTTGAGAAATATTGTAACTTATCCTCGTGCTTTGTGCAGGAGAATTTTTTTAAAAAGTTATTCTGTAAAGAATGTGTGATTAAAAGTAGGAAAAAGTAATTAAAAAATATATATATAAATGATTTTTTTTAGAAGATTGTGTAATTGAAATAAGTGAGAGTAAAATCAGTCTCACATGGGGCTTCTATTTATTTTTGTACACGCATTACTGGGCCAAGGTCCTGCAATATTGGGTGTAAATCCTACTCTCCTAGGCCCAATTTATAAATGAAATTACCCGGCCCAAAATACTATTTGCAATCGTTATAGGTTAGGGAACAATTACAAATACCCTTAAAAAAGTTTTAAAATTTGATAGTTACTTTTAAATCTTTATTAGTCTTAAAATACCTTTTTTTTTTTTTTGGGTCTTAGTTTTTTTCAATAAATTTTATAACACAATGTGTTATTTTGTACACCCATTACCTTGTTTCCGTGGCCATCACCTCCATCACTTGTAACACAATTTCTTACCCACATTTTATTATCTATTTTCTTCGTCAATAGCGCTAAGATCACCATAAGTTGTAACCAAGGTTCTAAAATACGTAACATGGGGCAATGCTTTACATGAGCATCAAGCATATGCGAAGCATATATGTAATTATATGCTTTCTAATTAATATTATTTTAAATATTCTAAACTAATAAATAAATAAAATATGTATTCTTTGAATTTTATACATTTAAAAAAATAAATTAAATTGCTCAAAATTATAAAATATTACAATTACTTGAATTTTATACTTCTTCAAAATTTCAATAAAAACATAATGCTTAAAATCATAAATACTATAATAACTTGGTAATCAATTCTTACAATCAGATTAGATACGAAAATTTTCTTAAAAAATTTTAAATCTTGCCTAGCTCTTTATCGGATTGCAATTCAATCTCATCTTCTTCATCCAAGTCATCTTCCGTGTCATCAATACAAAATCATCTTCATTATGCCCCCTTATTTCAACTCAAAATTTTAAATTCTTTCTTGTAGATGGTAAAACATTATTGGCAACCTCCTCCTCATCATCACAACCATCAATAATTCAAGCTTGTACTCTACTAGCATCACTTGTCAGTAAAACTAGTGAAAGATAGAAGAAGAAGAATGAGAAGGAGGCTCAAGCTCTATGTAAATAGTTTGCAATTTTATGAAAATTTTATTTTATTTTTGATTTTTTCTAAGGAAGAATTCATAATTAAGAGGTTAACTATCACCTATTTCAAAACTAAAAATGAAGACATCAAATTTCAAAAATTAGATATTTATTAAAATTTATTAATGATTAAATTAATTAATTATCTATTTTGTTAATTAAATATTTTAAGGTCACAAATTTATACAATTTAGTCACAAATCGATAATCTAATTAGTTACATATTATTTTTCGGTCATAAATCAAAAAATTTATATGACACAAATTATTTTACAATCACAATTCAAAAGTTTTACATGTCACATTTTGTTCGTCAGACACAAATAAAAACTTTATATATTACAATTTATTAATCGAATCACAGATTAAATATTAGAAGTCATAACTTATTAGACAGTCACAGATTATCAAATTTATTGATCACAAATTGAAATTTTTTTGGATCACACATTATTTTTTGGTCACAATTTAATTTTCATTGGTCACAGATTAATCAATTTAACGGTTACAATCAAACAAATAATTTGTAGCCATCACAAACACCACCACCTTACTACCGCCTCCAGCAACACCACCGCCAGAACCATCTTCGGACATCAACACCACTACCTCAAACAAATTGCAGAGAAACACCACTATATCGTCGCGCTAGATCCACCACCTCCTCAACAGATCCATCGCCACTACAACCAACATAACAACCACTACCAATCAAATACCAAACACTAAAAATCAAAGAATGAATGAAGATAGTGGCTAGGAACGGGATATCGTAAGAACCAACACCAAACCACTCCAACATCACAACCATCACCAACCAGACACCAAAAATAAGATCCAAAATCAGAGAATCAGATAAGACGGCAGCTTGAACTTGATGCCATAAGAAATAACCAACACAGCGCTGTCAAACACCATCACCACAGAGCTATCCACCACCTCACAACAACCGATCAATAGCACCATACACTGCCAGAGCCACCACCACGTCGCCTATATTACTACACCCTTGCACAACATCATACCCAACCACCGTTCCTTACACAACACTGCAACTGTTACAACCCACATTTTTATCTAGTCAAAGTCAATAGTGGAATTTTCAAAGTCAAGTCCAATGAGGACTTGTATGAAATAAATCATTTTTATTGGGACTTGATTGACCAAATCATTTTATTTGGGTTTATTTTGCAATTGGCAAAATATGAAGGTTGAATTGGATATATTTAAAAGTTTGAAATTTATATATATACTTTTAGAAGTTAAAGGATTAAATGTTACTAAAAAAGTGAAGTTAAGGGACTTATTATGCAAATTTTGGGTTTTGGACAATTTATAGTCAACATTTGACCCATTTTTTCACTCCAATTTCACACACACACACTAAAAAGGGGAAGAATTAGAACCGGCCAAGAAGGAAAGAAAAAGAAGAGAAAAAGAAGAAGAAAAAAAGAGAAAAAGAAAGAAGGAAAGAAAGAAAAGGGAAGAAGAGGAAAAGAGGTAAGGCTAATTTCTTCAAGCTTGGGTTGAATTTTTCCATTTTTTTTCACGTGATAAAGTATGAATTATGTTAAAATTCTAGGATTTTATTTTGGCTCGAAATTTTCAGATTTTTTTGAGAGAAATACTACTTGGAGCTCAAGTTATTGATTCTTGAATTTCTATCTACATTAAGGTAAGAAGATGTCAATTTTTTTGGGGAAATCCTAGAATTCGATTTTGGGATTTTTGATTAATTAATTGTGGAAATGATTATATAAATGGAATATTTCACTTGGGAGTTGATTTTATGGAACAAATGTATATTAAATGAGTGGAATTGTGGTTGCTAGTCTCACTAGATTGGAGACTAAAATTAGTTTTAAACTTGGGAAGAAGGTTTTGTTGATGAATTAATTATTAGAAAAGGGATTAGAAAGTGGGATTAGCTCCAATGGATCAAAAGAATATTTGGGAAATTCATTTGAGCATCGACCAATTTTAGTTAAGTATTATAGAAGTAGATCTTAAAGTTTTTTAATTTAATAGTAGTTGATTAGCCATCTTGTTATGTATTCCAGGTGGTGACGAGGAAATTGGAAGAGCCTATCGACCAGCTTAGGTTCAACTTGTGTTATGTGAGTGGATAAGCTTATTTTTTTAGAAATAAGTATTTATTTAATTTTGAAGTTACGCATTTTATAAGTTGAGTTGATAGCATGATTTTTCAGGATAAAACGAATTTTATTATCAAATATTTTTAAAAGTTAAATTCAGTTTAGTTAAATTATTTCATTGACATATTATTTCAGTATTAAATATTTCAGTATATTCAAAGTTATTTTAAAACCCCCAGAAAGTACCCAAGTGATTTTACCCTCGTCTGCACTGGTGTGAATGTGTTTCTACAGTGTATGACTTCATATGGTTATTTTACCCACTCTTCGCTGGTGTGAATGTGTTTCCACAGCGTATGATCAGTATAGTGATTTTACCCGCTCTGCACTATTGTGAATATGTTTCCATAGTGTATGACCATTTTATAGTTCTGCGCGCGTATGACCAGAATTACAGAATTTCAGAATTGAATAACCTTGCTATGTATATCGAGATTAATCGATTCACGAGTATGGTTATTTCGGGTACATTTTTGGTGTGATGTTTTAGTATCACATAGCTTATCAGATTTTAGAAATGCAGTATACAGAATAAAGATGTTTATGATTACAGTATATTTTAGTTTTGATTGTATCATCAGATTTTAAGCTACAGAACTCAGCCTATTCAGTTTAAAGAATAAATATTTAGTTTATATGTATGTGAAAATAAATTTTATGCTTTATGTCGATTTTCAGAAAGATTTTATGAATGGAAAATTATATTTTTACAAATATCCACTCACTGAGTTATAGACTCACATTTTTATCATTATTTCTCTTATCAGATAGTAGCTGAGTTGAGCATTACTGGGCCAGTTGATCTATCAAGTTGAGCCATAGATTGTCAAGCATTGTATGAATTATCTTTTCAGTTTAAGAGTTCATATTTTGGGATAGACGCCTCTTTTGGTCATAAATTAGTTCCATGTGTTGGGCTTGCTATGTTTTGTATATATATTATGCATTTTGGGTACCGTGGTTTAGAAATTGTTGCAAAAGTCGAATTGCCAGTGTTGTATTTGAATAGTTGATATTTTGAGGGGCTGGTGTACCCTATTTCAAATGATATGTACATGTTTGGGATATTTGATTTTATTTTCAGGTAGTTTTAGTCCATTTTTCAGAGGGAACTCTGCCGAAATTTTTATAAAATTATAACAGTCAAAGATCATAAATTAGTTCCATGTGTTGGACTTGTTATGTTTTGTATATCTATTGTGCATTTTGAGTACTGTGGTTTAGAAATTGTTACAAAAGTCGAATTGCCAGTGTTGTATTTGAATAGTTGATATTTTGAGGGCCTGGTGTACCCTATTTCAAATGATATGTACATGTTTGAGATATTTGATTTTATTTTCAGGTAGTTTTAGTCCATTTTTCAGAGGGAACTCTGCCGAAATCTTTATAAAATTTTAGCAGTCAAAGCATGTCAAATTTGCCTTGGTGGTGGGTCCGATACTTTGCTGGTATCTACCATCGGCGCAAGACACGTGTCGGATCCATTAGAGTGATCGGGACGGGTCATGTCAAAAACCATAAAAAAACTCCGACATCTAAAAACTTCATATTTTCCCAGATTGCATAGATTGCCATTTGTCGCTGCTACAACAGCGACTGTATAGTAGCAAAGAAGTGCGTGTTGTGAAGTGCCACTGAGCGAAGTAGCACCGCCGCGAAGCAACACCGCTCGGCGAATTGTTGTGCGTAGCGACTTTGTCTGAAATGAGGTAGCGTCGATTGCCCGACGATGTGCTTGAGATGGAGCATCAACTGGTGGGTCCGGCACTTCACTGGTATCTATCATCGATGCACGACACGTGTCAGATCCATTAGGGTGATCGGGACGAATCGTGTCAGCAACTGTGCACCATCACCACTCCTACAGCCCACAAAACCACACCAGCACAATACTACCACCCCACACAGCCCACGACACTACACAACCACATCATACACAACACCATATCACGTCATCACACAGCATCGCACCACCCTTTAAACAAATTAAAATTTGGAAAATTTATTAGTGCATTCCATCGCGCCACACAACATCGTCGTTGCCACATCATCATCATAGTCGAGCGACGTTTGCTTTTTCCACCGACGATGGTTCTTGACAATGGCGTCTGCGGCGTCAACAGAAAAGTGAGATAATATGGAGAAAGAGAAAATGCTATGATAATATTTAGGGTTTGGGCCGCATCATCATCACAGTCGACAACGCGGGCATTATCCACCGGTGGTGGCTCCCGGTGATGGGTCTGTGGCGTCGATAGTAAGGATACGTGTGAAGGGAAAAGTGAGAGGAGATGGAGAAAGAGAAAATGCTATGAAAACATTAGGGTTAGGATTTTAATTATATCTGATTTTTTCAAAAACTCTTAATTATGATGATTTTTAAACCTCTTAGTTTCTGTAATTTCCACTTTTTTCTAAACATCAAAATCTATAGATTATTGTATACAATTCACCGGCTTTAGTAATTTGGGCTAATTTGATTTTGTTGAGCTCAAATTGCGTTTTTTTAAGTTATAAAAATGAGTTGGGCTTTGCCATACTAATTTTGATACAATTTTTAACACAAATGTGCTTATTTTTTAGGCTATTTATATAGGATCAACGAAATAGGTTGACCATATAATCACGAGCATATCTTTGATACATAGAGAATGTAGAGGCATATGCGTGCATTTTAGAATATTGGTTATAACATCCATTGTTACATCATTGTTGCCATTGGCCCCCACCCTATGTAACATACATTTTTACATTACCACCTTCAACTCCACCACTTGCAACATTAATTATTACACTATCATTGTCATAGACTACAATGGACACAAGCATCATCACTATCATTCATTAGCACCACCACTAGATCTCTAACCTGGGACGGATTCAGGATTGAATTCAAAATCGGGCTAAAAAATTTGAAGCCGGACTAATACGTGAAAAAAATGTATTTACACATCAAAAACTATTTTTACCACCACCAAGTTGCCATCCAATTCTAATCCCATATTTCACCGTCACATCCACCATGTTACACTGTCACTTTCACAAATACCGCAAACCAGAAAGATCCATGTAGGGCCGGTCCTGTAATTGTCGAGGCTCGAGACGAAGTCTAAAAATTAGACCCCCAAAATTAACGTAAATACAAAACTCAACAATATATTATGCAACATATTGTTAACTTAAAACTTAAGATTAAAACAACAAACAAATATCTCAATCATCTCACAATTAATGAAAAAACTATTTTCCTTTTCCTTTTCCTTCTTTTAATAAAAAAATAATAATTTTGGGCCAAAATAGGCCCTTTGTGGTTTTGGACTTGAGGCACAGGCAAAACCGGCTCTGGATCCATGCTCCCAACTCAAAGAAGACGTCATTATAATTTCGATGAGACCACCATACTATTTCCACCAACAAAACCACCAAAGAACTTAGACCCAGCATTTGTAATTAGTTTTCACAAAAAAAGACAAAAATATCATAAAATTCGAGAAAAAAAGGATTTGAAGAGGTTTAAATCTCCAAATTTTTATATCTAAAATTCAAATATGGTAGCTTAGAAAGTAGACATCAGAGTTGTGGTGGTGGTGTTTAATTGGTATGGATTTGCCATGGTAGTAGGAAGAAAAAAATTGGAATGAAAAATTAAGTTTGAAAAAGCTGTAAATTGGAAATTTAATCGAAGTAAGGGTCTGTTTGATAGCATCCAATTCCATGGAAAATGTCATATTCGAGGAATTCGTTTTCTACGTTGACTGCTTGATACAAAGGTGGAATTAAAGTTCGAATTTCAGGGTAATCAAATTCTTATGGTTTTGGTGGTTTTTTCCTTTTCAACTTATATGAAATTGATTTGTCGTTTCTACCATTGCAATAAAACGGACCCTAATAGTAATGTGGGAATTAAATTCTTCGCATGAGCATTGGGTATAATTATCCATTGATATCGTTTCGAGCACCGATGAAAGGGGACGATTTTCTTTGTAGCCTAGTCGAAGATATTATTGGGGGAAGAAGCCTAACTTACGAAACATAAATGATAAAGACCTCTTTTATGTAAAAAGAATAAAACACTTTCAATTTCGAAGTTAAGTCATTTAAATTTCAAATTTGGGGGCGAAAGGATTTCTTCGCAGACTCATTAAGAGACCCCGACGCCAATCCACTTCTCCAACACTATAAATCATTTTTACTGTTCAAATCTTTGAATATCAAATTAATTTTATATTTGAATAGATAAATCTAAAGCATAAAACACATTAGTATAAGCAAAAATAAATAAATAATTTAGAAATCAAACAAAATGAAGAAAATAACCATTAATATAAATTCTACCACACATTATGAGAGATGAAGATGAAGATGAAGATGGAGACGTAGATGAAATTTGATGAAGAAACCTTGAAGGATTGATTTAAGGGGAGAGAGGATTTCTTGGCTTTTCAAATTTCAATGTTCAAAACTAGGGTAAAGAATACAGTGATTTTTTTGTTTAAATGAATTTAATAAATAAAAAAGGAGTCAAATGCTATTTTAGAAAAAGGGGCAAGTTGCCTAGCCATTCTTCACTAAATGCATATTTGATTACAAGCATGAAATTTATATGAAAAGAAGATATGTTCTTAATAATTGAATTATCTATAACTTATTTATATGAAAATTATTAATTAAATATGTTTGATTATTTTAATTTTCAACCTAAAAAATTATATACTTATCCATTTTTGATTGGTAGATAGATAAGAGAGATATTAAATTGCCTAGAAAAATAAAAACTCACTATTCCCTAAAAAACATACTTTCTGTTATAAATGGAAAGTTCATTAAAGTTTATTGGTGAATGACATTTGTACCCCTGTAGCTCTAGAAATTATTACCATTGTATCCCTGATTCTTACCTATAAATATACGGCTTTGGTTTTCAATAATATACACAAAAGTTTATTGAGTTTTCTCTATTCTCTTTTCCTCTCATTTTATAACACGTTATCAGCATGAAACTCTTAGAATGTAGTAATTTTTCTTTCATAATCATCTATCACGTATATCAAAATTAATCTGATAATACGTGAATTTTATATATACATATGTTGAATCTGCAATACGTGATCTCATCTTTCTCGATCATTATATTTTCTTTGTACCTCTCTTTGAATTAATTATTTTTTTGTTTACATCAACCCACGTGCATTTTTATGAAGATATATTTATGTTAAATCAATTGATATGTATTGATTCATGTTTATATACCCTCCTTATATTTAGATTAGCCCTTTACGTTTTACAAATGCTTTTAATTTTTTTTGGTTTAATTGGTCAATGTTCTTTGTAAGCAAGCTTCAATTCCAAATCTCTATTTTGGCTGATTCCATATAAATATAATATACAATTAACAAATAACTGTACTCAACTCATATTTTCTTTCAAATCCATTTGTTTCTGCAAATTTCATGCCTTAATTGGTTAATACTAATTCAATTCTTTTAATTGTACATAATTAGAATTTCGTGCCATAATATGTGAATATGTTTCTACATGTCACCAAATTTTTTTTTGTTTCACTCGACTCACGTTATTAATTCAAAATAACATTTTACATGTGTTTGTATATTAATTGATGGTGAGCAATTGGATGTATTATCATTTTTTATGTTTAGTTATGAAATATTATATTAAATTTATTTTTAATTGTTGTTGCTCCTGAAGTAGCACAATATTATAATTAATATTTCAGAAGAATATTAATCATAGATCTATTCGTTGTTGCTCCAGAAGTAGCACAACATTATAAAAAATATTATTTGATTTTGAAGAGCATAAATTATAACTCTCAATATTCCAGAAGAATATTGACATATTGCACTTGAAGAAATAATAGCAAAATATAATGTGCTCCAGAAGTAGCATATGTTTCGAAGAACATATTATTTCAAATTAATGTTTATCCCCAGAGGAAAACACGTAATTTAAAGTTATGTTGATATTGACTATTTGATTAACATGTGATGATTAATCATATTTTTGGAAATTAATTGTATTTTTTTATTGTGTAGTTAAACAAATGACAAACATTACGA